AGCGGTGAACCGGTTAACGAGATGGCCGGAGTATGTGAATGTGATTCATCGGGCTCCGTGCTGTGCATGCAGTGCCACGTCGAAAGAAATTAACTTGTCACTTGCGCTCCGTGGCTTCGGTGCGGGGGATTGGCGCGGGCAGCGGCGGGTTACGATATGCTCCGATCGTGAAAAAAGAGCTTTTTCTTCGTGTTTCTCTTCTTCTTTTTTACTTGCCAATCGCTTGACATACGCGGCCTGGACTCCTGGGCAATTTACTTTTACATATATTTTTTGTTGGTGCATGGGGAGGGGGATCATAGGCAGGGAGCGATCTCTCAAGTGACAGCTTCCAGCCATGTGCTTCTTGTGTGGTTGAATAAGAATTTGAGCCTAGTGAGGCCAACTGGGCAGTAAGCTGCGTCCTTTTCATCAGACGGTGAAAGGAACCGCCCGACGAGCTAGCGCAACCAAGGAATTTTCTTTTTGTTCTTCGTCCGCCACCTTACTCATCATCACTGCGGCATCCCGGGAGACCTGAGCAGATTCTGCTCTCAGCTTACAAATAGCATATTGAGACGACGTTTGTCTCATCTCAGCTGTTTGCTTGTGAGACTTGATGCCAGGAGATGGCGATTCCTGAATAGCATTCTGTAGCTCTACGAAAAGAGTTACACTGAGGCCTCCGTAATGGTGCCAGGCTGATAAGCTCGCCTTGATCCTGAAGCTTTTCAGGAGAAAGGAAAAAAAAAAAAAAATTCTAGATTTAGAGGAACCGCTGGTCCATAATAACTAGCCCCTTGGGGCAAACCATTGTCTTACGGACATGCCGGCGATGCGCCTGGGCTCCCAAAGGACCGTAGGCCGGGGAAACATTATTTTTGGGTCATTATGGGGAAGTTTGGGCCTGTTGGTGGATAAAGGCCCTCCCCACAAAAGTGGGCGTGTCGTAAGTTAGCTTGGTCCACGAGCTCCATTTTTTTAGATTTTGTGTCAGGATTTGCCCGGTCACGCCTTTACCGGTGAAGCTGTTTGGGTTTGAGGGGCCTGAATAAATACTCGCCTGTCCCCGGAGTCGGCGCCAGGCTTTCAGTTCCTCTTTGAACAAAATTATTGCAGTTCCCTTTGTCGTGACGCTATCAACTGCCTCAGCCGTCAATCGTACCTTCAAACGGTGAGTCATTGATGTCCCGCCTCTTCAAAACCTGGTTTACCGCCATTGGACAAGCGTGCTGATGAAGCCCAGGAACACCTCTAACTGAAAGAAGATCTTTTCATTCCACCGTCAAAATGGCCTCCCAACTTCCAAAGACCATGAAAGCTCTTCAGTAAGCACATTTACTACCACCTAAATTGGCGAAGGCAGCCACTGAGCGCCTTTTTGTATAGATACTCCAAGCCAGAGGAATATGCCATTGTCAACATCCCGTTGCCTCAGCTCCGTGAGAACGACGTATTGGTATGAGTTCTCCCCATTCGCAGTGGATGCCTCCTTTTGAAACTGCATTCAAGCTGCTTGTAAAAGAACTGAGTTTTCGCTGATTGTGTGTTTTCAATATAGATCAAGGTCAAGGCCTGCGGTGTCTGCGGAACTGACTTGCATATCCACGAGGGCGAATTCCTTGCCAAAGTGAGTTTGTATTTGACTCTGCGGGGTTTTCTGATGAGTTTGAAGCTAATAGCCGTGACATTCAGTTCCCTCTTGTTCCCGGTATGACTTGAATTGCGTGACCATTGTCGGCAATCGGTGAGACTAATCCGTTCTTTCCAGGTCATGAAACTGTTGGCATTGTTGCCGCCATGGGACCAAAGGTCAAGGGCTTCACCGTTGGCGACCGAGTCGTTGCCGATAACTCAGAGCTCTGTGGAGAATGTTTCTACTGCCGACGTGGCGAAGAATTGCTCTGCGAGCACTTTGAGGCTCACGGTGTCACCATGAATGGTGGCTTCGCCGAATACTGTGCCTATCCAGGTAAGACTTGGTTACTATCTGCTAGAAATGGTGTTTTTCGCGCAAGAGTCTAACGTCATTCTTTTCGGCATTTTTCAGCTGGCCGAGTTTTCAAGATCCAGAACCTCTCAGATGTCGACGCTACCCTGTTGGAGCCTGCTTCCTGCGCTGCCCACGGCCTCGATAAAATTTCCCCCAAGATGGGTTCCACCGTGCTCATGTTCGGTGCTGGTCCAACCGGTCTTGTAAGCCAATACGCCCTGATCGGAAAGACAGAAGCTCGCTTTTACTTACACATATGAATATAGGTGCTTGCTCAAATGCTCCGTCTCAACGGTGGCTGCAAGGTCGTCATCGCTGCCCCTGAGGGTCTTAAGATGAACCTCGCCAAGTCCCTCGACGCGGCCGATGAATACATCCCGCTCTCTCGACAAGACCCCAGCGCTCAATTCGAGGCCCTCAAGGCTGCCAACCCATACGGCTTCGACATCGTTGTCGAGGCCACTGGCAGCGTTAAGATTCTAGAGGATGCCATCAACTACGTCCGACGCGGCGGCAAGCTGGTCGTCTACGGTGTCTACGCCAACAAGGATAGAGTCACGTGGCCCCCATCCAAGATCTGTAAGTCCAGCCCTCATCTCTGTCTTGGAGCTCGATTGGAGCCCTTGAGGAAGTTTGGGCTAACGTAATATTTTTTTACCCCCCATGGCAGTCGGCGACGAAATCACCATTCTCGGTAGCTTCAGCGAGACATATAAGTTTCCCGCTGCCATCGACTACCTCGACTCCGGCAAGGTCAGAGTTGGAGGAATCGTTAATAAGGTCTTCAAGATTGAGCAATGGGCTGAGTGCTTGGAGTCGATGAGAAACAAGTCCGCCATCAAGGCTGCTATCACCTTCGACTAAGCTTAGTTCGAAGTACTTTTTGTGAATTGCTTGTGTTTGGTTTGATTCCCTGTGCATGCCTGGGTAGAGGTTCTCGGTTGTTAGCGATTTGTGTGTTGTTTGGTGCGGCCTGGATTAAAAGGTATATAGATGGTTAATTGATGCATATCTCTCCATCGGAAATAAGATTACGGTTGAGACGTAGCTTAAACGGAAACTTTGCCTCTCAGATAATGTTTTGATGGGCATGGAGGCCAGAGGCCCAGAGCTAAAGTGGGGGTTTTTTTAAGGGGGTTAGGTACCAAGGGTTAACCGGCCAGGGGCGTAACCCCCTCGGCTCTTCGGGCAGCCGACGGTGGCGGACGCCCCCCCAGCAATCCCCCGAGCGATAGAAGCTTTTAGGGGCTGGTCATCAAGCTTTGCATCACGTGGATGCCTGTCCAAAGGTTTGGCGCAGCAGTGGTGTTGACATGTTTGTACTGTTTGAGTCAAGACTTCGTGATCGCCATAAGCTCGAAGCCACATGAGCCTACATGCTGTACAGTGTACGGAGAGTACAGGGTACAGATAGTCAAATACTCTGCATTCAAAATGGTCAAGCCCCTCACATTCAAAGGCGACAAGAAGACCAAAAAGCGAAAGCGACACGGTGACGACCCGTCTAATCCCCACAGTCGAGGCTCCCAAAACACCAGCTCCGCCATCGCCGAAGCCACCGAGGACCACGATGAACAGAGTTGGGTAGCGGCAGATGTACCCCTCGATATCTCGGGCCCAGTTATGTTTGTTTTACCATCTACTCCGCCGACGTGTATTGCATGTGATGTCAATGGCAAGGTGTTTGCTAGCGAGATTGAGAATACGGTGGATGGAGACCCCAGGACGGCTGAACCACACGATGTGAGACAGGTCTGGGTTGCGACGAAGGTGGCAGGCTCGGATGGAATCAACTTCAAAGGTCACCATGGCAGGTGAGTTCATTATTTTACTTATGATGATTTGGGGCTGTTCCCCCCCTTTTTTCCCAGGCCGGATTCCTCATGGCCAACTATCACTGACACCGGTGAGAAAACCAGATACCTCAGTTGCGATAAATACGGTCTCTTAAGCGCTACATCACCTGCGGTATCTGCATTTGAATCGTTTGTCCCAGTTTCTTCCCCGGATTCTCCCGGGATGTTTTCATTCCAGATCTGTGGCGGCGACATGGAAGCTTTTCTCGCCATCAAGGAAGGTAAAACCTCCTCGAGCACCGTTGAAATCCGTGGCGACGCCGATAGCGTTTCATTCGATACGACCTTCCGCATCCGTATGCAGGCGCGCTTCAAACCAAAACTAAAAGCGTCGAAGGAGAGCAAGGCGCTGGAGAAAATCAGCCGCAAGGAGCTAGAAGCGGCGGTGGGGAGGAAACTGGAAGAGCATGAGGTGAAACGGTTGAGAAGAGCGAGAAGAGAAGGAAACTACCATGAAGAAATCCTGGATGTGAGAGTCAAGGGGAAGCATGATAAATTTGCATCGTGAGGGGACTCGAAGTGGGTTTGCTCCGATCGGAGACAGACCGTCGTTGTGACTTTCTACTATGGAGGACAAGCTTGGTTCAGAGCAGGGGCCGTGAGCGGATACCGAGTTCATGCACGGGTTCGAGACGAGCCGGCGGATGGTCCCGCATATCTGGGCCAGCTCCGTATTTGGGCTCCTCGGCCTGACCGCTTCGCAAGGAGTTTGGTTACATGTTTAAAATGGTGTTCGGCGTTTCAGCCCCAGAACTAGCGGTGACTCTCTGGATCTTGACAATTGTACTCCACAACCTCCACGGGCGAGGGAGACCCCCGAGTCTGCTTGGATTATCAAATCAGAGAGAGCAGTGGGCCTGTTCTCGGTGGTGAAGCCGGTTTTATCCACCAAGCTGTACTCCGTACTCCTCGCGGTGAGGATAGGAATGAAATGGCCAAAATTGCTTTCGTCAACTGTGCATTGACACGTGGTTTCTGTGCCGCACCTAAAATTCAAACAACGTGCTTGTGTATGTATGTATATATGTATGTTCATGCATGCACGCAGGCGTATTTACGGAAGCCACTCTCTAGCCCGTGCCCGCTACATCTCTTTTCTCATTGCCATTATTAGCTGAAAACATAGACCAGCGTGAGAGGAAAATGTAGATTAAACGGATTACACTTGAAACCATGTCCCGTTGCAAAATGATCGAGGATCAAAAGAAAATAACAGAAACTTGAACTCATGTACATCCCAACGCGGATTAACAGAAAAAGGGTATCAATCAATCAGAAGCCAAAGACACGCAGTGACGTGGCTGGTGTAGACCCGGGTATTCTTGATGAATACTCGGAGGATATCGGGGAGTCCTTGATGTTCCAAAGCCCTCCGTTGACGTTAATTCGTAAGCTTGCCGCTGTAGAAACCATGCCGGGTTATCGTAATGCGGGGAATACAGTATGGAAGATTTTAAGCCCTACAGCTGGTTAACTGCAGCCAATTTGAGATGGGGTGTCAAGGAAACAAGCGCACGCCATTCACTTACATTTTGGTCTTGCTGCATCTCGCTCCCTTTCTTCATCTTCAGCCATACGGTGATTTCCTAACATCGCCACAGCTCTTCTTCGCATTTCCTCCCGACGACCGAGTCCGCTGGTTGCGGCGGGAGTTTGAGGTGGCGGAGAGGCTTCTACATCATTCGCTCTATCAGTCCGAACGTCAGCAGATTGTAAGGACCCTAACTGGCCCGCAAAACTGCCGTGGATAAAACGACGCCTGGACCGCGTCCGGCTCAACGGCCCGAGATTAGCCAGCATCGTGCCTTGGCCGGATCTTTGCTGACGTGATCTTCTAGCATAACGCTCCTGGCGAACCATAGCATCCGTAACCATCTCGGGGCAATAACCCGGAGGAAACACTGTCTTTTTGCATACAGGACACAAGCTACTGTTTTGCAGGAGGAAAGCATCGATACATTCCGGGTGAAAAATATGTTGACACGGAAGCTCTCTTATAATGGATTCTCCTGAAACGTAGTCATCAAGGCAGATAGGACAAGTTGTTTGGGAAAAAGTCGACTTCTGACGTTCGTAGGTTGTAGGACTGACAGGTGGAATTGGTTCAGTACTTTCTGGCACAGCTAATGTGGCTGAATTTTTGGGATTAGTGGGTTCTTCTCTGGGTTTTGTACACACGACAGCTGGATCCGGTGCCGCGGGATCCGCTGCGGGTGGGTGGCCATCTTTGTCATAGGTATAGAGAGGCAATTTGTCAAGAACATGTTGTGGGACTTTGAGCCTTTTGATCCCAAGCATTTCTAGATCCACATCTCCGGATGTAATTCTTTCTCGTAGCGAAACACGTCGGCGGTGCTGAATGATCTTCATGACGATAGATGACCCTGCAACAACGACGACCAAAGCTGCAAGAACCACGAGAAGGAAGACCCATAGACCTGGAAGCGTGTCTCTCTTATTTTCTATTTTCCATTAGCCCAGCCTAGAAAAGTGATACGCATACAAGGGACGATACCTAGAGCAATTAAACCGTAAACCCTAGCTGTTGCATTCGAACTATAAAGCCTTGACAGCCGGTCACCATGTGGAGCATCGCTTATGTTGCCAGAATACCGTGCTAGCTCGTTCATTAAACTGGACCCAAATGCCCCTGGTACAGCATACACAGGGAACTCTTGCTTAGACGCCCATTCGGCGTCATCTAGACCCCAACCGCGATCTTCCACAGGTGGCGGTTTCGAAGTTGTTTGGTCAGGACGGTAAAAAATCATCGCTGCAACTCCATCTTGACCTGCTTGGGAGAGAAAGGACTCTGAGCAGGGAGCAGACACCCAAGGGGCAACCGCGACATAGACGCATTTGTACTGAGGGAGATCACTAAATCGCGTAACATTTGAAGGGATGCCTCCCGCGATTTTGCTTTCGCGATCGCACGGATCATCTGGGGCCAGTTCGGGTACATAGAGAAGTGCAACAATGCCGTCATCATTCCACGCATGCCTATCTGAGAGCGTCTGTATATTGAATCCAACATTGAGTTCAAATCCATCGGTGCTCTGCCAACAGGATGTCTTTCGTCAGCTATGGCGATGTTTGTGGGGGGGGACTAGGATATCCTCACACTCAGGCCCCGGAGATGTTCAGAGCATGTGTCCTTCGCTATCACCAGAGCTTTTGCCCTAAACGCGGACGCCGCTACAAGGAATGAGCGTTAGTACAAATTTGGTGCGTTCCATGGTGCGGGAGGATCTAAAACGCAAACTAACCCATGAGTATCGAGGCAACGCTCAGTCAGTCGGAGAAAAATGGGCGCGGCGTGCATGGGCTCAGTAGATGGTTTCTGGGTGATCTTTATTGCCCAAGTCGAGATACGTTGCCAGTTGGAGAGGCGCAGGGCCCTTGATGTGGTCGCGGATAGATACGGAGAATTCAAACGGCGACGTCATGAGCGAGTGCACGGAATGGAGTGGTTGATGGCGCTCTTTCTGCACGACAAAGAGTGAGGCCTCATAATAAGAAGTGACAATAACAGTAATGTTCTCGTCAAGGAGATGACGGCTAAGAAATTGTGGTTGAGCGAGTAGTGAACAAAACGAGTGCCGTGAAGAGCACGGAGGCTGCGTCGTATTAAGTGCCCTCGAATCGCAATGATCGGCGGCGATCCGAAATGCTAAACAAGGCGAAGCGGGGAAAGCCACTGGTCACGGCAACCTAAATAAAATCTTGTGCGTGCTCGCTAGAGGAGTCAAGCCAACAACCACGCCCAATGTTGCTATTAATACTCTGCAAAATGCTGCCATTTAGGGTGTTTGAGGTTCTCTAAACATCGCAACAGATTTCGTCCCGGCAGCTCCCAGGCTAACGAGCTGCTCCGACATCGACCCAATAGTGGATTCTGTTGCACTTGGCTTCTCATAGTCAAGTCTCTTCTCACTCGGTGATGGTTTCGGCCTGCGACTCTCATACTTGCCGTCCTGCTGCACGGCAAATGGCGAAGATGAAGTGTAACCTCTATTGTTCCATTGTCTCAGGTGCAGCCTCATTGGTCGACAGATATGCTGGGGCAGCAGTATTTCAGAGTACGATATCGATGCCGCGCAAATCCAGTACTACACCCATTTTACAACACCGTTAGGTCCACAAGTGCAGGACATGGATAACGTTGACTAATGTCGTAGCTTATCCTCGGCGTTAACCGCGACTCCCTGGAAGGATTACGACTTCTAAAGGCTTTTGCAAGGAGGAAATCAAGGTGGTTGCAAGACATTGTTCCAAGGCTATTTTTTCTGGATCAGTACTCCGTACTCCGTACAGAGTTCCCGTAAATGCTCCGTAGCTTGTTTGAATTGCACAAACATTTCGAATTTTCTTTTTGATCTTCCACCTTTTCTTCTGTCATTTTTCATTTTCATTTTTTTTTTTTTTTTTTTTTTTTTTTTTTTTTTTCTTCCTCCCCCTTCCAATGCGCTGGTGCGTTCGCCAGTTCAAAAGTGGCGTCACATTGGTGGTCGGTGCGCGGCAGAAAGAACAGGGTCCCGTAAACTTGACCAGACTCGTAAGTGCCGACTGATAGACGCAGGCTGCCGGGAAGATGTTGGAGGCGATGCTCTTGGACTGTGCGGACTGGCAAGGGAAGATGCACATCTGCAGCAGGGAACAAAAAAGTTCAGGTGAAGCGACAACAACCGGTGGTTACGTAAACTCTATGCGTGGTAGGCCTATTCTACTTACGGACTAGCGTGATCCACCAGCCACTCTGCGGCGCGCACGGGCCAGGCGGGTGATTCAGCCACACGTGACTCGCCGCGACTTCAGACCGTCATCGAGTGTTCTGTGGCCGCCGGAAATGGCCGCCTGATGGCATTGCGGACTGCGGGTTCCGGGGATCTAAATAGCGGACGTACCACTGTCGCTGAGCTTAGACTTTGGTTGATGGAGCGGTTGCCTAGTTTTTTCGATCCTCATTGCCGCGCGAAGCACAATTCACGTTATACCGTTCCTCCTTCCCCGCTGAACGGCCGCAGCTCTCTTCGAACTCACCCCTCGTTTCCCGTTTATACCTGAAGCTCCAAGTTTACGATACGGTCTATCGGACGGCCCCGCTATGCCTACTGCGAAAAGCAAAGGCAAGGGTCGTGAGCCTAGAGGCTCCCGAAGCCGCAATACCACTCCGAGCTCTGCGTTGAGTGCCAGCACCGTCGCGGGGACAACGTTTTCTCTAGGTTACCTCGACAATGATGTGTCAAAGCTCGCCGTTCCCCCCACCGTACAATATTCCGATATACTTGGTGAACTGGGGGGTACCAACCAGATACCAGACCCTAGGGCCCTAGAGATTCTCGTCGAACAGCTCAAGGTACTTAGCCAAGTGGCAGAGGCTAGAGGCGATGCCTGCAATGCCGGAATGCGAGAACTATCCCATAAGAGGAAAGAATTGCTTGAAGAACAGAGAGATCAAGCTGGCCATCCCGCAGAAAAACTCAAAATGAAGAGAGAAGCGGAGGATGATGAGGATGATGGGCGTGCTTCCAAGGGAGGCAAGCTGAAGAAGCGAAGAGATAAGGGGATTTCAAGGGATGAACGGCCACTCGCAGTGGGGGCTCACGCCACGGCGAGACAGGACGCCTTTGACTTGAGACCTGATGGTAAGCATTGTCCGCTCTCTGCGCTCTGTCCCGGGCGTCTCCTCCCAGCTTTGCCTGGGGTTTACCGGATGTGGGAATCACGTGGTGTTTATGAGCAGCACCGATGTGGCTTTTTGCACAGTGACGTGATGTTTTCATTTCACATTTGCATGATGAAAGTTTTTCCTATGCCTTCGGATCCGTTCTCGTCATCTCAAGCCATGATGGTGGGGAGAATAATACACTGACCATATTCTCTTTAAGGACCTCAAAAACGCAGCGGTAAAGACGCGGCAGGTTCTTCTTCTTCTCCAAACAAGAAGTCAAAGAATTTACCTTCATCTACTTCCTCTCTTTCACCACCATCGATCACTTCTCCCAGGGCCGGCGATCGGACCTCAAGGCCTGGGTCCCCAGAGTCAATGGAGAGCGGTGACTCCTACCAACCGGCTCCGGCTCCGGCTATTCCTCAATATCAGGTCTTCGGTCCCGATCCGTTAAGATTTGACGACCCTACGACTTACCATATCCGAGAAGTCAACCCGGGAATGACTGATGAGGAGAAAAAAGAGATTTATTGTGTTGCAGGGTTTCCCCAGAGCGACCTGAGCCATATGATGGCCGGAACAATACCCGATAAGGATTTCAGCAATGCCAAACCCACGAGTCAAGTTAATGCAAATACATTTGCAACGTACATCGAGCCTTACGTTCGTCCATTGACAGAGGAAGATATAGCGTTCCTTAAAGAGAAAGTAAGGAGACTTTACATCCAGTTTTCCTGCTTCAACTAACAAGATGCTCATAGGGTGATCGCGTTACTCCTTTCCTCATTCCTCGCCGTGGCAAGAAGCACTATAGCGATATCTGGGCTGAAGAAGATGGCTCGATCAATATCGACTCTTCCCAACAGGAGCGAGAAAAGTTGCCTTTAAATCAAGGTCGAGGCAATGTCGAACAGATTTCCGATGATACTGCGGAGACAGACCAAGTCTCCGCTCCGCCGTTGCTTAGCCGTCTCTACTCGCTTCTCCGTTTTGAGCATCGAACTCTTCCTGAAGAGACTGCTGCCGCTCAGTCAACTAGCCACGAAGAATCGGCGTCGCACGCGAATTTTAATGGCGATACGGCGATGGAAGTTGATCAGGTGACCGGAGAACCCGAATCAAAGCCTCTAAACTCGGCGACAGCCTTTCCGGACGCATCCCCGAACGGATTCAAAGTACCTGCGGCCAAGCTCGACCATTCACAGCTTGACGAGCGTCTGAAAGCCGAACTCCGTTATATCGGCTTTATCGGTCCAGAGGAGAACCCAGACTATGACGCTCATTACGATGATGATGTTGCTGAGCGTCTCCGATTCCTTCAGAGCGAACTCAAAAAGCAAATGATCATCAATGGGGCAAGAAAGACCCGCCTGCTCGAAATAGCTCGCGAACGCCTAGCCTATCAGGAATACACTACCATTCATGACGATCTCGACTCACAGGTGCAGCAAGCGTATCTAAAGCGTACACGTACCCTCGGTAAAAGTAAAAAGGGATCGCAGGCTAAGCATCGTCCTGGCGGAGCGGGTGGAGGAAGCCATCCCGTAAATGCGCTTGGAGTTGGGAGGCCCGGAATAGGCGATTTGGCCCGTACGCTTATGGATAGACGGAAGCGGTGGGCAGACTGCATTGGACCGGTATTTAAGGATTGTAAGACTACTGTTCCTGGAAAAGACGGGTCGATTTGGGATCCGGTGGTTATGGCGGAATTTGAGAAAGCAGAGCTTGAAGGATGGGACGAGGAGCAAGAGTAAAATGGTTCGATTTTGAACGATTACGTGCCTGGCGCGGAAATTATTTCACTTTTCTCCCTTAACTTATTTTTATGGGAGCGCCTTTCTATGTTTTGGTTGGTTCCAGGGACTGGGTGGCTATAGTGTCTGGGATATGAAGTGAGTAATAAGGGAGGTAGAGCGGGCGTCCAGGGAATGGATTAAGGTACGGAGTTATGGGCGAGAGGGGGCATCCCTTTTTTTTTTTTTACATTAATGGCACTTTTTCTTGAATCTCATCGTGAATTCTCGATATTCGACCTTTGCAATAATTTGCCGTCCTCCCGCTATAACCAAAGCAACATGCTCCCGGAAAAGATGTCCATTGAGGGATATCATACCATCAGATATAAGGTAGCCAATGACTCCCGAACTTCCCACCATCGATCCGTAACCTGGATACTTCATCGATGAATGATCAACACTTCTCCCGGATATCGCTTCAACCTTGAAGTAAGCTCCTTCTCGCTGATTTCCAGCTCCGTGCAAATCTCATCGAAGCAATGCATCCCGTCTAGGAACTTCGTTAGCGTCTTATCATCAATACCATCTTCTTCCACTCCTCCTTCTCCCTCTCCGTTCTCATCCTCATTATTGTCATTCTCATCCCCCGAATGATCCTCGGCGTGGGAGTGCAGTTCGGTAGGTCCGATCAAGTGTCCGCTCTTCCGACGTCGGGAGGTAAATGAGCTCATCGACTCGATGCCGCTGGCGGTGGAGCCCATGCGACTACGCGTGAACGACGGTGAGCTGGAGAGGAACGATATCTGCTGCGTGCCGTTGGCGAGCGTGGTCGTCACTGTCGTTGTCTGCGCGGGCTGGCCCGTCGCATATGGATATTTGTGGACGCGGTACAGGAATCCCTTTATAACTCCGAAAGTGATAAAGCGTCGAACATCGATGTTGGCAAGTTCGCGCGTGTGCTCCAGGTACCACTGCTTGACGCTTTGGCCTTGTTTTAAGCTCGCATATAGTTCGACGATCCCGACGCCGTCTACTATCCGAGACTGCTTGCCTGTGTGTCCGGGACCGGTAGCTCTGGCATCTTTGCCCATCTGTGGCCAGATATTATCTTGATCTGCCCAGGCTTGTCTCTCACGCCGGGATGCGTCGTTTCGACCTCTTGACCCTGTTTGCCGCGATCCGGCAGTTTTTGCAGGAGCTAAAGTTGGGGAGAAGCGAGTGTTGACGTAACGAGCGCATTCGCGCTGCATCTCCTCATCGGAAGCGATGGTGAAGCCGAACTGCGCCGTTGGAGCGTATATGGCGGAGAAAGAAAAGATATCGAGAAGAAAAACACATCCGTAGTAGACAAGATGACGGATCGCGCGGCATGTTAACGAGAAATTGGCGTCTGCCAGTACGGCAATTGCTCGGATGCTATTAACTCCGTTGATGTACGGGACGATCTATATAGAGGATAAAGTCAGATAAAATGTACAGGTTTGAAAAGCAAGCAAGTAATAAAGTGGCTATTACCCGTTGTACAGTGATATCCCAATTTTCGTCCATGAATGCTTCATATCGAACAGTGAACAGCGGTACCTGCCATGCTTTCACTGGAGGCGGCGAAGGATAAAGTGGAAATAGCTTGACGTTCAGGGTATTCAAATCATCTGAAAATAGTAAGCGAGCTAGGAGCTTAGGCAGGATATAAAACCAGGTGGATAAACACGGGCATACCGATTGGGATCATGCACTCGCAGTAATTATTCAGGTCCTCCATCAATGTCTCGCACAAACTGTGTACCTTGCCTTCTCCACCCGGTGAGGGATCTTTTGACAAGAAGCCCGACTGCTCCTCCAGCTCGCACATCAAATCCGCCAACTTCTGCACGACGCTCTTGAAGCTTCCCCATTCGTCCTCCTCCGCGAGCACGACGCAGAAATTGAAGATAAACTCATTGCGATCGTAGCTGGGCGATTTGATGCACACGGGAAACCCGAGGACGCGGTGACCATTGGTGCAAACCTGGATGAGGTTTCCGCAGAGCTCCTGTCTTGGGATCACAAAAAAGGATATATCGGAGAAGTTGAAGAGCGGGGTGCTTCCGGGCGGAGCGGTGGAGGAAGGGACTATAGCGCCATCGGGGACCTGATGGACAACTTTGCGGCCTTAGGATAGAGAGGTACGGTCAGCAAAATTAGGCATATTAGAATTCAGCGAGCCGGTTCTTTTACCTGATTGCGTGTCAAACTTGCTGTAGAAGATGGCCTTGATCATGATGGAAAAGGAGGCCGATCGGCAAAGAGAGCTGTTGATGGCATTCTTTCTGGCGTGCAATTGGCGGTGAAATCATTAACCCAGGTAACTGCTCTGTGGTTCAATACTTCATATGTAAGTACGGAGTAACTAGTTAACTAGTCAGTTTGTGGGCCGCATTTTCTCCGATGTTGAATGAAGCACTTGGGACTCCCTTCCTCAGCATGGGGTGATATCATCAAGTGAAGGTTTCGTCTAAAGTCCACTGCAACAAGGACTAACGCACAGCGCACGATCTCTGAAACTATTGTACTCTCGTGCCGCCAGTCTCTCTTGGGGCATTTGGGCAGCATCCAGTTCGGCGCAAATTTTTCCGTGTGTGAACTGCCAAGTTATGCCTACATTTTCATTGCACAAACCCAATTCGGCTGTTCATTTGGCTGTGCATTACTCCGTACTGTACGGAGTACTTTGGCATTACTTTTGCCTGCGCCACAGTTATGCATTCACTGCGGCGTCCTGGACTCTGATTGGCCAGAGTGGCGATATCGCATTTCCTCGAAGCCTATTGGCCACTGTGGGTTCAGCAAAAAGTTAATCTGGCCAATGAAAAGACTTGTTCAGCTTGGTTTTTTGCTTATGCTCCACCCGGACTAGCGCGTTTCTGCCACCACAGCACGTGAACTCGAGGAAAGATTGCCGCTGCAGCTCCATCACGTCTCGCCTCTGCTGTGCTTTTTCAATGCGGGACCCCTTGAGAGGCAGTTATTTTGATGGGCTTGCTAGTACGAAGAAAATGATAGAGATGCTGTCCCCGATAGCGCATTGGGGTTGAGAACCGGGTTCGCCTGTCGTGGACTCTGTACTCCGTAGTAGATTGGACCCGCCTCCCGGTGACCGCTGCGAAGTGCCGTTAAAAAACCCCGAGTCAAGACCGTCCATTGGGCCAGAGAGGTCAACCTCTGAGCCGCTATGGAGGAGCGATGAACTTACCAGCGGGCAATCCCCGCAAAAACTCCCCACAGAAAGGTAAAAGCCCCGGTGTCCCGACGCCTCGGGCTGAGATTTTTTTTTTCTTTGACTACCCTCTGGCCAGCGAGCCAGATAATACTCCCAATCCTAAGTGCAGAAAGAGGGTAGGGAAACAACGGGGAGAGGAGAAGAAGACGACGAAGAAGAGAAGCAGCAGCTGAAACGGAGAAGAGCAGAATATGTCCAATAATGGCCCCAGCGAGGAGCGAGGGTTCAGATCTCGGCTCAGCCCTAACCCCGGCGCCCCCAGTTCCCGGGCAGCATCAGTGCCCCATCTGCTTCAGATCGTATAAACGACGTGAACATCTGCAGCGCCATAGCCATACACACACGTCTGATCGACCTCACCGTTGCCCTGCTTGCGGCTGTTCCTTTCAACGGGCGGATGTTTTGAAGCGACACTGGCGCACCTGTGATGGCAGGGGATCATCAAAAGCCGTGGTTCGCAGACGGGCTTGTGACCGCTGTGTTCGCCAAAAGAAAGCTTGCAACAGCGTTCAACCATGCCACAACTGTGCGAGACGAGGAATACCGTGCCAGTATTCCTCCGGGATCAATGCTCCGAAGCCTAGCACCGATATACCTTTGCAGGCAATCGACATCGACAAGGACATGTTGGCGACAACCGATCCATTAACGTCGACCATCGAAGCCATGCTACCACCGAGCTTTGAGGTCGGGCAATTCGACAACGTTACCATGAATGCGTTCGAATCCTTTTTCGACCCCGATCTTTTCGACTACGCCAGCCCCAGTTGGCAAGACTTTATGCACTTTACATCAGACGGGCAACCGGCTCGGGAGCTCACGGTCTCTGATGGGGAAAGCAGTCAGATTTTTCATTTTCTGGATAACTTCACGAGCAAGACTGGATTTATAATGTCGTTCGACTGTGGGACGCTTCGCCAGAGACAAGAGGTGATGTCAAATATCCAGTGCGGAGTGTTGGCATTTGAGCCCCAGCAAGGGCAGCTGATGAACTTCGAGTCCGCAAATAACCCAGAGGGCGTTTCGTCGGGCTGGTTCAACGATCCCCTCGCCCTTAAAACACATCAGATCCTGCTCTTAATCAAAGAGGTGGTCACGGTCAAGCCACGGAATAGCTCCGTGACGTTATATTGGTCTCCTGCACTTGAGCAAATGTGCTTGCAGTTTTTCTCCCCGATAAACCTTCGGAAATATCTTGAATTGTATTGGGCGATATGGTCTCCCAATGTCAACTTCGTTCATCGGCCTACTTTCGATCCAGTGTCATCCAAATCAATCCTCGTGGCATCCATGGCCATCATTGGTGAGTATACTGACACATCGACCTCTTCGACATCACTCTACGGCTTTCTTTATAGTGGATGTAACGTTACTGACAAAAATAAAAGGGGCTTGCGTCTCTCCGGATCCGGTGGACAATGAAAACGCCAGAATGTGGCTCAATTGCGTCGAGGAGATGGTCTTTGCCGACGACGACGTCAATAGCTTCCCGGTATTTCCATTTGATCCCGCTGCAAATCGACGAAAAATCCAGGCTTTGCAAGCCTGCTACATGGTGTGTCTTTATCAAAACTGGGAAGGCACAGATGTGACCAAGAGGCGCATCCGGCGGCATCGTTACAGCACCGTGGTTTCTGTAGGCCTTTTCCTCATTTTTTCAGGCGAGATGATTCGTGTAGCTTTTACTGACTTGCATGCAGATAGTACGGGACATCGGTGTTGCAACAGCAAGACACAGCAATTATAGCGGAAAAGCAAGACATGAATTCCAATGGAATGACTTTGTGGCCAAAGAGGAACTTATTCGGTGAGTTGGAACTAACATATGAGATTTCTTTACTCACTCTGCTAATTTACTTAACCTTTAGGACGTTTCTGTGGATATTTTTGCTCGACACTGCGTTCGTCATATTCAATAACTTCCCCCCTCGGATGGTGATCAAAGAGATGAAGAACCACGTCGCGGCCCCGGAGGCCTGCTTTCAAGCAGTGACAGCGGATCAGTGTTTCGAACAAATTCAAATGTGGATGCCCGCCAAAAGCCCATTTTGGAGAGTCTCGTTCCGTTCTGCTTTCGAAACACTCTGTCGAGGTGACCTTACAGCTGATATGCGTCACATTCTAGCTGCCTTGGGTCCGCTAAACTTGTTCGCGATTGCTTCAGGCAGGTTTACATCAAATCACCTCTCGTTGTGCCCACGTGACTAACACAGATAAACAGCTATTCATTATTTAATCTTCCAGTATCAAAATGCATTTGGCGGAGGCGAGCTGTTGCAGCGGATTCGTGACGCCTTGGGCAACTGGAAAGACATCTGGCATATCCAAGCGAACGCATCCCCCGGCACCTCGCCGCACAGCATTGTCGATAGCACAAATGCACAGCCGGAATACATGTGGAAAAGAGTTGGCTTCTTCCGCTACTCTCCGGATTACTGGCTCCTGGCTAGCCTCAAAGTCGACCGGCTCTCTGCCGCGGACCCTTGTCAGCCAAAGAGCAATGCGTGGACGGGGCAAAACGATGTAGAACTCATCGGTGAAGACGATGATGGACTCGCGGATCCGATACTGAATAAGTACGATGAAACCAGCATGAGCCAGGTCAACGAACTTATTTCGGAGTTTAAAAAGGTACAGGTCCACTAATCCTCTCGCAATACCACGGCTCTTCATACGGAGTAATGCTTGCTACTGGATGTTATATACCCTCTCTTTTTTTCTTTCCCCCGTTGTTGGTGCTCTCTTTCTTTATTACATTTCTCGAGGTCCAATTTGGGCTCCAACTTTTGCGCTACGATAGGAGTCGCTTTCATGGAATATAGGTATCTCTCCTCCATTCACCCGTGTCCGCAGGCGTTCGGTCCGACACACGTTACGGAATGCTCATCCGAAGATTATATATGTGTACCCGTTATGATGCAAATGCGATCCACGTGGGGCTGCTTGTTTCCTTGCTACAATCCAAGTCACTAACTAGGAAAACCCATTCTGGGCAACGGAGTAAATATGCAGATCGATGGAGTAGTTGCCTCGGCGTCAATTAGCGCACAATAGAGCACATATGCACATGGATAAAATCAAAGCCGGTTAAGCTAACAAGCTAAGGATCAATTTCTGAGTGTAAATAAGCTCCCAAGTCTCACCTTAATATTAGGGAGATCTAAAAGGAGATCTATCATGAGGTTCATAGTGCTAATATACAATGCTCAAGGAGTCATATACGACGTCGTAGTCCGTGTAAAACTATTTCTCGGAGGTACGCAACAAGAAGCGTAATCTTCTCTCCGACAGTAATACATCCGGGGTTAAGTTTGAGGGGAAAAAGGCACCGACAAAGCCTTCAGCCATAATAATCCTCTCTACTCGAGAGGATGCAAGAGCCACTGCTTGGACTGGGGGTCCAAGCAGGCCTTCTCTGCCTCCTTCCACTCACGAGTCACAAAGTCCGCTCTGGCCTTGGATCTCGGGGTGATCTTTGCAGGGAACTCCTCGGGCATACACACGAAACCCTGGGTCAAACGATCCGGGTCTGGAATAATCGGGCGGCCCTGGGAGTCAGAAGCGGGCTCGATGTTGAAAGCCCAAAGGATTCGGGACATGCCAAGGAATAGACTGCGCTCAGCGACGTGAATACCAGGGCAGATACGGCGACCAGCGCCGAAGGTGAATTGATCACGCTTGGTGCCGTCAGGGTTGGCGGCGGATTCGCCAAGGCTCTGGTGATCGTTGATGTAGCGCTCTGGATTGAAGACGCGAGGGCTGGGGTGGCGTTTTTCGTCGTGGTGAATACCCCAGACGTTGTTCATGACACCGGCTCCCTTGGGGATGAGGTAGCCCATGTAGTGATCATCCTGAGTAACGGCGTGCGGCACGGCACCGAGAATGGTGGTGGGCATCCAGCGGAGGGTCTCTTTCATGATGGCGCGAATGTATTGCAGGCTATCCTGATCATCCATGTTTGGCATGCGGTCGGCTCCGACAACTTCATCGATTTCTTTTTGCGCCCGGCGTTGGATCTCAGGATACAAGAGCATAGCTTGCACGAAAGCGTACAGTGTGCTAGAAGTGGTGTCGGAACCAGCCTCCAAGAGGGTACCGGAAATATAGGCAGCCTGGTCGTCATCGAAACCTTCAGACTTCTGTGCTTCGGCCATACCAACGCAGAAGCACGGTTTGATTGTTCCTCTTCGGATGTCATCCTTTGCCTTGAGCCAGTGTCCCAAATAGAGAGCCTTCTCGTGTTTATGGAGGTCCTTAGCCTTCTTGTGGAGAGGTAGGAGGAAGTCTGGTAGGTTTCTGAGCCAAGGGAAGAAGTCAATCAGGGCCGCAGCTCCAGTCTGGTTGATCTCAGCAAATTCAGAGAAACCGTCGAACAATTGCTTCATTTTCGCATCCTCATAAGTTGGGGTACGCCATCCGAAAACCATGGTAGTTGTCAATGCATTGGAGTACCGGCGGATATGGTACAAGAATCGGTCCGGCTCGGTGAGGAACTCGTAGAGCATCTGCTTGTTCTCAAGCGTCTGATAAACCACATAGGATTTGGAGGTGGTCACGTTGAGGAGCCCGTGTACCATCTTGCGGAACTGTGCGTGAGGTTAGTAAATAGAACATGTTCATTGATATCAGATTTTTCATACTCCACGCCATTTTGGTCCATATCCCTAACGTTCGCTGTTAGTATTCTTGTTCACTTGACGCAAAATTCATCGAATTGGTAGAACATACCATCATCAGCAGTCTCAAACCACCGCTACATACTTCCTGGCCGATATACATTTCCTGTCTGTGCGAGTAGATTCCACTCTTCTTATCAAGTAATGCCTTGACCGCCTCATCACTGGACAAGACGATCAAGCATTGAGTACCGAGTATCAGACTGTAGACTGGGCCGTATTCTTTAGCCCATTTGGCGAACTGAAGATGGGCATCGCGTTTGGGCATCTAGTGGCAAAGACAATTAGAACGACGTGGTCCAAAGAGGAGAAACAATAGGTATCGGTATCTTAACAGCATACCTGGTGAATATTCCCAAGAAGAGGCAGGGTCGGCGGCCCTGGCGGATAGTTCTTGGGTCGACGGCCAATCGACAACAGGCGCGCGACAGCGATGGCCGCGGCCGTGAGACCCAGAAGAACCGACAAACGCAGCATCTTTGCCCAAATGGCTGAAGAGCGGTGGTATGAGAAGAAAAAGGACTCCTGCGGACACGAAGGAAGAACGGTTCTTGAGAACAACTACACAGGGTGGATGGGCGAGGGCAACCCGTTATGAAGGGTTTGGACGAGTCGACGACCGGCCCGGCTGCAGTTGTGGTTTTTGAGACCCCATCTGGGTCCGACGGCAGCCTCCATGCTTCGCGGCGACTGTCGTATAATCTGGGGTCTACCGGCGTCTACGCAAAAATTTCCGTGGAGGAGTTTTGTCGGAGCTCGTGTGGGAACAGCGCACGGCGGATGTGGAGGTGGGGGAACGACAGCGGAGCGTTAGTGGGCGGCGACGATCGAGCTGGTGGAACAGCCAATCCAGCTCGACTTGATTGCTCAGTTCGTGTAAATTTGATACTCGAGCACCCCGGCAAAAAGGGTGTGCCTTTTGGTTCGTGGGTGGACTGGCCGTGGTAAGCCTTGGGAAGCTGAAAAAGCTTCGAGTTGGATCGAAAGCGAAAAGCGGGCCAAAACTTCGCCTCCGCTCACGCGCGTGCTCCCCGACACAGAGTGAAGTCCTAATTTATGTGCTCTGTACGCAGTATGCGGAGGCCAACAACTTTGCATTGAAGAGGCTGGCTAATCTACCTAGCATTGTTAATGTATTGATGTAGAATCAACTCTTCATCGCAGAAGGCGATGTCAACTTAGGAGAATATTAGTTATATTGCTGTCTCCGAGCCATAGTGATGGGCAAGCTGGAGACGAAGGTACCAGCCACCTGGGCTCCCGAGCGAGCTCTCACTCCTGGCTCCAAAGGTTCCACAGGGGAACGCCTTAAAAAGTAAGCATGGAAAAAAAAAATTCTATCTGCAAAAATTTGGGAAAAGCCCGAACTTAATCGGAACGGGACCCGTTGTTGAGAAGCCACCTCCATCTTTCATCAACCGCCCTCTTCACAAGAAAGAAATAATATATAATGCCGCAAAACCGCCACCAGCGCCACGCCAGACGATGCAAAGAAAATAAGCCAACAGTGATCTCGCAATAGAGGGAATCTCTTTTTTAAAGCAACGTACAAAAAGATAAAAGTAATAGGGTCCCGTCGGGGGGGTCCTGAAACGAATCATCTTGGGTTTGGCGAAGGGCCAACCGACGGATCCGAAACGTCAAACCCAGAGGCCAGGGCTGTATTGGGTGCCGGCATGAGCCGCGGTCCGACTTGGCGGGCACCGGCACTGTTGTTTCCGTAAATTGAAGTGGGCGATGTGAATGCCCTCGAAAAATCCACCGAGCCCTCCCTGATCGTGTGGAGTATGTCTTCGTAGCTACCACGCTCGATTGCGTCCTTGAGCCATTGCTCCCAGACATCGTCAAGGGGTACATCTGCTCCTCGCTCTCTGGCCGCTGTGGCCTCGAGCAAGTGCTGGTTGAGGGCAAACCCAACGCTTTCTTCCAGCTCATCCTCGCTACTCTCCTCAGCTGTCGTGTCGCTTTGGACCGAGTCTGATCCGTGGGGTTCCACATTATGTGCCAGCGGGGCCGACTGCAAGGTTGGGAGGCTCTCTTCTTCGCTCCATCGGTGAACAAGAATTGATGGCGGGATGGTCGGGCTTGAAATAAAGATACCATCTGCCGTAGTGTCTCTCACACGCACTCTTTCCTCTCTCTCATAGCGCTCTTTAGCGGATCTTGTGCCTTCCCACCGACAAAGTGACGCTATTTCATCTTCCGTCAGCCCTAGGTCGTCAAACGCCCTGAACAGCTTCGAATGGTGGTAGAATCGGCCCAGTCTCATTCTATGTGGTGGGAACGAATAGTCTAGGCCGGGGTATTGTGCCTCGATGCAATCGAGGGTTCCGTAAAATCTAGAGGTTTCAGCGCGAACTTCGGGGACGAGGTTTCTGGTGATGTGGGATCCGAAGTTCATCGGATCGTTGGGGCGAGGTTTAGGGTAGAGGGCACTGTAGACGAGCTGTGAAACCGAAGGTTTATGCATTGCGATTGACGTCACCGTCTTATCGCGGGCTCAAAGGAAGATTATGACGAGAAGAGGACTCTTATTTTAAACCCGAGATCAGTCTGCCTGCCAAATATCAGGGGAATATAGAGTTGAGGGGCCGTGAATGTGTGGAGGGAGCGAGGATGGAGGGAGGATATTCGGCTCCTGACTCCTTTTGCAGAAGTGATTCTGCAAGGCTGGAAGAAGGTGGTCGGTGGGTTTGGGGGCTTAATGGGAGGCGAATTGGAAGACCACAAAGGATATTCCGCCGCACGGCCGGGCCTTGGTCAACTGCTGCGCTAGCCCTGGAAGATTTATTGCAGGCGGAGTGAATTTTAGGAATACTTTTCTCCTTGGGTGGTATTATCGAGGGGAGGAGGTTTCACCAGCCCGACCACGCAGGGAGGGTAGCCAAGGTTCGTGAGCCAAACGGAAACTTTCTGTCTGGGAAATCGGAGCCTGCAGCCCGGTGGTTGGCCGAAGAAAAATCTGACTTCCCTGGTGCGTGGAATTCGTGCTTTTCTGAGCCTGGTTTTTTGGAAGCTGGTCAGACAGAGGTGAGCAGGAAGTCACCGGATTTTCCGTCACTTTGTTACCTTGTAGAGCGGAGATGAAGGGGTGAAACAAACTGTTTTGGCTCCTCTTTTATTTTCTTTCTGTTTTATTCTGGAGGGGAGAAAGAAGGGGGGGGGGGGAAGAGAGAGGGACAGAAAGACAGGATTTTATTTCACGTCCACCACTTGCATAGGATGGGGCAATGCGGGCGCCTGATGAGGGCTGTTCGGGCACTTCCAAGGGGATTGCTGGGTAGGACGGATCACCTGCGAAGGGCGTGGATCATGCCTTTCCAGCCTTTCCCTGAGATAAATAATAGTTAAGTAAGTTGTGCAGCAAGAATAAAGAAGAGAGACAGAGTTTAATCAAGCAAAATTAACGTGAGCAGTCTGGCATGCGACTCTTTAAAACATCAAACCTCTTGTCTTTTTGGTTTCACAATCTTCACAAAACTGTAGCACTTCTGTAGATTTTACAGCGCATTGGAAAGCAGAGATGTTATAATATACCTTGCTGTTTCTCGTTAATACATTCTGCACGAAGGCTTACCTGTTCGGGGCCATCATCGTGGCCTCATTTTACTTGCAGGATTGCACCCATGTTGGTCGAATGTAAAAAGCGAACGTGGGACTCCGGGCTGCGGGAGAAAACCGCACAGGTTTCCAGAGGCTGATCGCAGAAAAGCGAGAGGCCAACCACCGCCCGGTTTTGCCTGCACCTGTCTGCAACGCCGAGAAATCAGTGGGGCGACAGGGAGCTCCAGTCAATGACAGGGTGACTTGGTCAGTGATGATATCTCCAGTCGTGACCTTTCCGCGAGAATAGCCTGCAGCAATGCAGCTCAGGCGTTGGATTGCTTCAATGTTTCTGGCTGCCCAGTTTGCCCCTCTCGCCTCTCGTTACGTTCTTTTGGTTAGAGTGGCTGATCGTTTTCTGTCTGCTCTCTCTGTACGGAGACCGGAGTTACTCGGTGGTTATGGCTGGAAAGTTGAATGGTCGGCTGATCTTTTTCCTTCTGCATCTCACCGTGCGAGTCGCCTGCGGCATTCCCTACTGTTAGGTAATCCCACTACATAACAAATGAGTAGTTAACTAGTTACTATCTACTAGTTAACTAATGTATTTTGTATCAAGAAATCTTCTTATGGTGAGAGCTCTCATATTATCACATCACGTGTTGCCTTTCTCGTCTGGAGAACTTCTCTTTCTTCTTCTCCTTAGAGCTCAGACTAAATATCATCATCATCATCACCATGGAAAGAATTGAGTACATTCCGTTCAAGAACCCGCTGGAGGTTGGATGGCTCATGGCAGACCTCTTCGACATGTACTGGGCATACCCGTTTGATTCCTTCATCTTTAGCTGGTTGGAAAGAACTCCCGATCTGGAGGTTCTTTGCAAGGATGCCACAGATGAGAAGATTCGTTTTTCAACACCACCAGCTCTTCTAGAGGCTATTCACAGCTGTCAAAAAAATATCTTCTCCAACTCGATGGCTTCCAAGTAGCGACTTTGGCTTCGTTGGTTTTATACAAAGCGCTATTCATGAGGTTGAAAAGAATGTTTCAATTACAAAGCCAGAACTGTAAAAATGAACTCAACGTGGTTCCTTTTTCCTTCTTCTTCTTCTTCTTCTTCTTCCCTGTTTCTGACCTTCTTATAGCTTCCTTGATCCTCTCTTCTGGAAGATCAGTGCTGGCACTGCCGTTGATGGTCATCATCACATTCTTGGATCTCACTTCTGTCAACACTCTCCTGATCATTGGAGCTGTACAATGCGAGACCACTCAACCCCCATTTGATCAAATCAGAAAGGGGATCGCAGAGACTACATTCTGAAGAGTGAGCTCATTGCAGCCGCTGCTATCATGTATCGTCAGATGAGTGAGATGGTCTATCTCCCCGAGTCCGAGACCCATGGCGCAAGACCAAGATACAAAGATGGACTTTTGATCGTAAATTTATTCTCGCTCTCTTTCCCCTCTCCTTCTTTATTATTATTGTTTATCTTCTCTTTCTTGAGTTGTATGAACGCTAATGCCCCCTCTGGCCACTATCGTGACTTTTACTGTTGGAAAAGTACGCGTAGTTCAAGCAACCTGCAATCCGTCAGAGAAGCTCCCAAAACTTATCTTCACCCTGAGAGCCATTTATGGTCTCTCCAGGGATAATTACGACAAGAATACAGTGTATACGGTTATGGAATGGATTCTAAGCCCTCCTCGACCTCAGTCAACCAAGCTGCTTCAATCAACCGACAAAACCTCAGCCAAGCAAAGAGCCCCAGCCAACTGAACACCTTGCCTTGAGAGGCCCGAAACAGTAATATTATACTATTACACAAAGTGTATGACATGGTAATGATACCATTTTCGTGGGCGGACTACTAGGAGTTTCTTATATGTTATGGAATTATAAGGCGAGATAGTATACTCAGAACCGCTGGCCATGAATTCAATGATTTAACGTAATTCTGCTATTAGCCATTTACCCATCTATTAGAAGAAGACTATAAGAATGACAGACGCACCATTTTCTAGAATCAATGGATGATGCTGGCGCAAAATAGATATCGCTCTGTTAGAGAGTAGAGATGCAAGTTAATAGCCACTGAATGATCCGTCGTTTACCTTGCCAAAAGCCTCAACTACTTGCAACCAAACAACTATCCCGTCGATGTTTCTTCTTGCCATCACTCAACAATGTATTAGTCTGAACTGCCATTCCTGCGCCAAGTGTTGAGTTGCAGATACGGCACTTGTACGGGGCACGCTGTGTAGGTCCCGCGGGAAGAGAAGAGGCAGTCACTTCGACCTCCGCCGTGGGCAGCGTAGACCATATGGCCCTTTCATATAACTATAAAAAGTATGAAAGTGTAAAAGTGTCTTTTGGATTACCATATCCTATATTGACTATCTACCTGTACGGAGTAGAGCCATGAGAAATTGACATTAATCCAGAAGAGGAAACCCCCATTTTTGTCACAACCAACTAACTAAGTATTCAAGTCAGATCTAAACCTGGTAGAGGAGGAATATGCTTGTCATTCACCAAGCTTGGATTCAAGAGATCCGCTAATCAATGTGGGTCGTGTGAGTGAGGTGCGAGTTAGATTAACACCACCCAATGCAACAAGCTCCAGCAATAAGTGAGCCACAGGAATTCAAGGCTCAAAAACTCTCAAATCTGCAATAAAAATTAATTACTCTGTACGGAGTACGGAGTACAGGTTCCAGATTTATTTCTTCTTTAGACTTAGCCCCATTTTGCGCTGCAACAACATCTCTCCATTGCACTTGGAAGATTTCATGAGAGATAGTAGCTGGCAGATGGCGGATGGCAGAGAGTGGGAGGAAGAGCACAATGTATATAGTATCTAGATCCCAAATGCAAAGACAGTGGCTGCAGAGATATATTTACTTTACCAATACATTTCTGATTTTGAGTATATTCCTATATAGTTGATTCACAGATACATTTCTCACAATTAATACGGAGTAGATGCCTACACATTTCTAAATTGAATACAGAGTCCATGACCGGAACTGTTGAGCTCTGAACATGCTTCCTTTTCTGTATACATTTCCTTAATTTATATATGTTTCCTGATTTTCTATATGGATTTGAAAATATATAATTGCTTGTCACTAGATACTGAATCCATACGGCAACATTGCAGGTGGAACTGTCGGGAAAATGTCTTCTCTAATTGAAACAATGGCTCAACCATGGATCCGCTGTTGCCTAAGTATTCTACGCTGACGGTCACGTGGATTACGAGGTTCGGGGCCGGCGGATCAACTCCATCAGAAGCTGGGAATGGAGATGGAAAGCTGCTTGAAGAGGATGGGGGTGCTTGGTGCTAGAGCCACTGCGAGGCGACGAAGCGTTTGCTGCTGACCACCGTGCTTCTGTCAGTTGGTGCATATAAGTAACTAACTGGTTAAGCTTTCAGTCAAGAGCTTCCCCTGAAGACCTTCCAAGTTATCCCCGAACCACAGCCTTCGTTTGCTGAGTTCAGTTTAAGGTCATGTAAAACCCCCACGGCTTTCTGACGAGATACTTCGACGGTGAGCATAATGTCGACCTTCAATGGGATCGTCGAAGGTCCGTCAACCCCTGAACCTTGAACCTAAGAATCTCTGTGTTACTGACTATTCCCAGAGTTTCCTCTGATCCGAAGTACAAAAACCCTCCGAAAGCTGGAATAGGTAAACGGGTATTAATCGGAAAACAGTTGACTATTTTCGAAAGAACCCCGATAGGCCTCCGCCCCAGGCCTGTTTTCTCAGCCATGTTCACAGTGACCATCTCCAGGGCCTGGAGTCCTTGAGGTCACCTTTCGTTTATTGCTCTGCAGCCACAAGAAAGGTAAACTTGTTCGATAGACCTTTGTCCGTCCAAGAGCATGCTTAGGATGTCCTAGATTCTTCTATGTATT